GAATTTTGAGCTGTATCAACGGGCCTTTAAAGTGTTCATGTGTGAAAAGTTGTGTTGTACGGTGATATTTATAATCACAAAAATAACTGCTTATAAGCATGTATACAATACTTGATTGAAAAGTGTTCAATATATTGTTTTCAATTAAGCAAATCAACCCTATCAGTTTTTCATTTGGTACATCGTTTTTGGATATAATTGAAATAACCTCAGAAATTAGAAAACCCCGCAAATTAGAAATGGTCTCGGGACATTTTATTTCTAATTTGCGGGGGTGCACTGTATTTGCATAGAATGTGACATAGAAAAATGATATGGAGAAAGATGAATTATTAACTTAAAATTTCAATTTTAATCAAATCAACCACTTCATATCGTGTTGTCGTCACGTTAGAGTGAATGAAGGTTTCCAGACATATCTTCCGCAAACGGGTACACTTTGATAGCATGGCTAAGGTTGCCGATAAAATGAAATTTTAAATCGAACACAATGCCAAATCAGATAAGATACACAATAAGTTTACTTGTTGATAATTGATTGAAATCAATTGAAAACATTGATTCTCTTTGAAATTTTGGTACTAAATTTTATTTTTGCAATTCTATTTGCTTTCTATACAAAATACATTCAAATTTTATATTTAATATTGATTTTAACATGAATTTTGTTTTGCACTAATACCGACACCATGACTAAGTTCTTGAAAAAACAGTTTTCAGTCCATAAATGAATAATTCAAATGCGTTCAAAGTGGCCCAGAATTCTCATAGATTTTCTACATCAAGAAGATGTTAGAAAGATAGTGTGTATTTTTAACTCTAATAATATCATTTTTCATATAAATTCCAGAAATATAGGCATTTGCTTCCACAGAAACAAAAAAATAGGGGAAACATTCTTGGACTATAAATTGAGCAAAAACTCTTTTGGAATAATAACAAATTTGTATCTGATTATTTCTCATTTCTTATAAAGCGCACAAGTTCCTGTTCGGACAAAAAGATCGTTTCATCGCTAGTTTGCTTGCGTTTACCAACTAAACCTTTTTCGGTCAATTTGAATGAGTGTAAACGGCCCTGATTTTTGAATTTCTCCGCGGCAAACCACATTTTCGAGTAGAATGGAGTCATGTAGTGACACACCTGCAAACAGTTAAATATGTTTAAAAACTGTTTTTTTTATTTCAAGACAGGTCTATTCTTCCAAGCACAACAACTGACCGAAATTACCTCACCTTGATTTTGCTTGGATCCTGACCTTTATTCAAGTCCAACAATTCGTTTGTCCACAAGTCTTTATTTTCTGCATAGTTGCGAATCTTGTCTTTGGATTCGAATCGATGGAATTTCACGATTAAAGCATTATTTTTTACGTAAAACTGATCCACATCCTTATTGTATGAAACATTCGCCTTTTTGCACATTTTCTGCAACACCGCAATTTGGGCATCTTCGGTTTTTATGGCATCAATTGGAATACCACTTATATGGAGACTGTTCAATAGAGTTTTTTGTCCTTTTAGCTCATCGCTTGGATCCAAAGCATCTATTTCAGTTAGAGATGACGATGCGCTCAGTGCTTGTTGTATTTCTAACAAATCAATGAGATTTAAAACAGTTTTCTAAATAATTCACTAATATTTTTCATTTAAGAATTACCATTTCTCTCATGTTCCATATTTCCATGGCCATTTTCTAATTCGGTTGCATTATTTTTCAATGTGTTGGCATATGTTGTAGCTGATCCCATGGGAAAATCCTTGGCTTTTTTCAATTTTGATTCAATTTCGAAGCGCTTACATGCTTGATTTACACTAGCAAATGATAATGTTGAAAAACAAAATCAAATTCCAGGCAGGTTAATCTTCAAAAAGTATTACCTATTGATAGTAATTTCCTTGATATCATTTATAAAATCCGAATTAGTTTCACCATATGATGAATACAGAGTATCAAAGCGTTCCAATGCATCTCTAACCACAGTGTCAACGTTTTTGAGATAATCATTCAACTGCTTGTGAATATTTTCTCCCATTTTCGCTAAAAAAACACTTTGGCATTCAAATTAAATTTTCAGAAAAAAGGGACTAATCCAAAATTGTTTGTCGTAATTTTGTTCTGAATGAAATATTCTTTCCTTTATTTCATTGAGTTTTTCGTTGCTGCTTTGTTTCCAATCAGGACAGTTGTACAAGCTAAAATTCTTACAAGGGAAAATTAATTATTACTTACCAAGAACTTGTTCTTCTACTGGCAACTGATTGAAATTAAATAGGTTTACTTATCTTGAAAACTGTTTTAAGTTTGACACTTCATTAATTTTCTTGTTCACGGCACGCTATGATATCGATAGCTATCGATAGCAAGAGATTAGCATTGCACATGCTGAGTGAAGTGTGAAGTGTAAAATGCAATTTTATGCGAGCTCTCAATATCACAGGTTCGATAAGATAAGTAAGTACAACATTTTAAAGCAACATCACACAGGTTTGTAAAGATATAGTGATCCAATGAGTGGTCAAACTGAAAAAAAGTAATATAAAAGTATGATATACTAGAATCATCTTCTCAATTTGGCAGAAAACACCTGCAAGGTGATTTTTTTCTCTCAATGATATGGAGAATGTGATTTTCGCATCCGTTGTACCGTTGTTATTCACGCTATTCAGGGCTAATGAAAACTCAATTAATTTCTCGCACAATCTTTTCGGAATCCATATATCAATTGCTCAAGTGGTTGGAATTGCGTTTAATTTTTTGTTCGAAATCATCGGGGAAATAAAGAAGGAATCAGCTGTCATCAATGGATGTAAGATAATCCTGTACATTGTACAATGTATTTTGATACCGTTACCGAGTTCTCGATGGACAAGTGAAAATATCCGCTTAGACAGCTGCTAGTATCCGAGTATCGGATGTCGTGGTGCAGTGCATTACAATCACATTCGTTTTGCTTCGGTCGTATTCATTTCAGTTTTATGACAACACACAAGCACACCAGAGAATTTTATGCTTTAATTGGATTTTATATCGAATTTTATTCCCTCGATAGAAAGCTCCATATCGATTATAGAGATAAGATTTTGTGGTGGCAACACTTCATTGTCTCAAAGCACTTTTTAAGAAATGTAAACCTCAGATTTTGTTGTTCAAATTTTAAAAGGCATATTCGAATGATGGTTATTGATCAGAGGAAAAGAACCCGTGGCTCGAAAATTCATCGTGATACTTAAATTTCGTACACTTGTTTCGTTCTATCGTCTAATAAGTTCAGACAAATAATTTACATTTCCCTCACTTAAAAAGTTCGTCAGTCCATTATTAAATGGAATAAGTGGGAAATATGTGATTTTGAAACTAAAAATGTCAGTTTCACATAAAACACTGTATAAATAAAAAAGGATTGATTTATTAATAATTTAAGCAATGATGCTTAAACTTCCATCGACATTATCCGAATTGTTCAATTTTTTCGACACGTTTTTTTCCGCTTAGTTTTAAGATGCTATTTTGGAAATTGAAATAATTAGGAACAAAAAAAGAGAAATGCTTGAAACTCTCCTTACCACCCACCCACCGATAACGAATAGTTTGCCCTTATATTGAGATTTCATTTTGTCTATTTTTTTTCGCTGCTTCTTCTCAAAGACCTAATCGAAGCAGAAAAAGAGTTGATGTACAGATTCCATGTCTGTGTAGAAATTGCGTTAGTTGTTCCGTCGATTGGAATTCTGTAATTGCATCGCTGGTGAATGTTATCGCTTATATTCAAGCATGTTCAATACAATTTTACTTTAAAATTAAATAAATTCGTCCATTTCGGAATTTGTGTATAAGAAAAGGTTTGAACGCTACGATGTGCCTTTTTATCGGAGAATATTGTTTCGGAATTTTCGTAGTCTGGATTCGAATAATTGTTGCGTTATACGTGCTGTGGTATCTTGCGAGTTTGCAAGTAAATATTTTCCGAAAGAAAAACGAACGAAACACATTTGGTGTATTACACTCGAAACCAGCATTGAGCGAACGGTATACCGCAACTCAAACTCATCACCTCGACACGGCTGCCGGAGAGTGAGTCGAGGCATCAAACGGCGCACACCATCTTCGCCGGCATCAATAACGATTGAATTTGTTTTGAAACTCGTTCACAGAGTGCTCCATCGCATCGCCCACAATTCCGATATTGTACGCTTACGCTACAAGCCGATATTTTCTTCCGCATTTTTCCCCAGTCGTTAATATCTTAAGCATTTGATAATCTTGGCGAAAGCACCATTTACACAAAGATGGCATTTCGACGATGGCGCCGCATTCCACATCATATTTCTTTTTAATAAAATACTTTTTGTTCATGCTTTCAATTTCAGACATTTCTACGAAAAATACTCTACAAGGGAAAAACTTCGATTTTTTTCCACTTTGCCTTATAACAATAATTTTATTGGGATTTATCATCTATTGCATCGTACGAGATGTTTGGTATTTAAAAAATTATTTGCAAATACTTTGAAGAAAGGGGAAGGCATGGCAAGAAAAGGGAGCAAAAAATCAATTTCCATGGGATAATGCTTTGCGAAACATTGCCGATGAGTGAAAACGTCGATGAAGTGAAACTGGTTATTGCGACTGCCACAACAGCATTCCACTCCATCCATAATCCTCTATTGTTTTTGTATCTTGCGATTTTTTTTCATCGTTTTTGATCGTTGTTTTCTCGGTGAAGTGTGCTATGCTCGGGCAGTGGAAATTATCATGCACTTTTTTGTGTGAATATTTTATTTTTGACTGCCGTTGATGTTTACCCGTCAACACATAATCATTTTTCCACTTTTTAATAGTGTTTTTTTTTGCTGTTGATATGCAAATACAAATCCATTATAATGCCATCGCTTTTTGTGGGATTATCTATTTTTATCGATTTCTATTAGCATCCGGGATTGTTTATATGTGTGGAAAAAAATAGTATCTGTGCAATATCGATTAATAAACTGAAACAATGAAAAAATTGTTTTCCAATAATTCCGCAAACTGTAACTCTGAACAGCGTATCGACATTCCGCAAAGTATCAGAATGCTTATAAAAACATGGTGTTCGCACATATTCATTCGAACAGCCTGTTATATTTTTAGAGAAATTAATGTAAAAGAAAAAAGAAAATTCCAGGTGAATCGAAAATCCAAATAGTCAACAAAATTCCCAAACTTTCGAGGAAAACGTGTATATTTAAGTTGCAAAAAAGGTTCTCAACATAAACCTGAAAAGTCCTAATGAAGAAAGAGTCATTAAAGCCATAATAAATAATCGAGAATATCCGCCGATATACTAGATGCCAATCGGTGGTGGCTTGAAATCACAAATAATCAGAGCAAATAAAATATGTTGACCGGTAACAAATTCGTCGAGAGCAATATTATCTACGTTCCACTTCTGTAGCCACCAAAGCAGCAGAGGAAGCATGGCGATGCAATTCGAATATTGCCAGTGGCGACGCAGTGCCAGTTTCGTTCGCATGGCATGGTTGTTATCATTGGCGGTGACAGTCGAACTAATCGCAGCCAATATATTTCAACGTGCTGCATACAGCCGTTCGAAAATGGGTTTTCCATCCCTCTACGCTGTATAGTTCCGGCGAATGCTCATATTTCAAAGAAATAAAATAAAACTGCTGTGGAAGAGCCAGAAAAATAGAACTGGATAGAAAGAGAGAGAGAGATAGGGAAAAAAATTTAAAACTATCACAAACAGACATGTTCGAATGCGGCGCAATGACACCGGCATGTTTATTGATTCGAAATTAATTTAAATTGAATTGAGAAAGTCAAGGGGAATGCGAAATTCGTATCTCGTATCGTTTGCACCATGCACCATGCGAATTGTGGTCCACCATTTAAAAAGGCATCGAATTCGACAACGGGACTGATGTAAATTTTGCCTAGGAGCATTTCCCACACAAACAATTTGAGCAAATGTGCAAAAATGTCTATTATTTCTTCTTTTTTATTGAAATTGTAAGAAAAAGTACTGAACTGACCATATTGCTTGAATAAAAGTGTTCAAGTTCAGTGTAAATGAACATTTATTTACACGAATTGGTAAAAATTGATTGAATCGGCCCGAATGGAATTTTTTTTTCAAAATTTATAAGAATTTATTCATTACTTTCGTGAGAAATGCCCCTAGAATTTTGCAAAATGAACGAGCGCCATTCATGTCCGCGCGCGTATCAAGATACAACACCGAAAACATTTTCCATCATTTTGAAGCCGTTTTTTCCTCTTCTGTGATGCGGGAAACTAATTTCCATTCGTCGTCTGTCCAACCTATCGATTTTGACATTCGAATTGATTCATATGCTCGCAATATTTACAGTTTTGTTGGAGACATTTATCACGTAGCTCTTGAAAAACTTAAAGGGCAAAAACCATATGCGTTTTCCTTCTTTGTCCAAGAACATAAAGTCAAACATGAATTTTCCATGCTGTGTCGTTGTCATGCTTCTTTCAAGTAAATATCATTCTCTCTTGAAATTTACACAGCTGTAAATGTGCTCAATTTAGTTCAAAGAATCGGTTTGCTTAGATTAATTAAGCTTAAAGTGTACTGTGTTTTGTGCGGTGTTTCGCATAATTGTGTGCGATAAGTCGGATTGCATTTGCCCAAAATGTTGATAAATCTTGCTTTACCGACAACCACAAACAATGTGCACCATGCAAAATGAAATTTAGAGAAACTGCTGGCTATGATATATTCATTTCATTTCGCACTATCTACGGTCCGAAAGCAATAAACGAAAGCAAAAAGTGAGCAATGGAAGTTAAAACGACACAATGAGAAGGAGTATCAGAAGCTTAAATTTCCAAACTACCCACGAAGAGTGTTTGGTAGTGAAGATTATCCACTCATATAAATAACATACTGTTTTTGGTGTATTTTTCATAACGTTCTGCTGCTGGAACATGTCTTTTTATACAGTAATAATACAAAAGCCATTTGACTTGATTTTCTGCTTTAACTTTATGTTCTCGAATGAAAGAAAAACGGCGATTCTTGAGAAAGCAAAATTGGCTGTGGGGTGTGATTTCTAACATGAACACTGCGCACTATATATAAGCGACGGCCAATGTAAAGTTGTGAGACGAGAAAAAGCGAAAAGAAAGCAAGAAAGATCGACAGCTATAAGTGGCAAGTGAGCGGGAGATAGCCAGGGAGAAAAAAGGTCAACTCTTTGTAATAATCACAGAGAACGTTTTATAGTCGTCTTGGGAAAAAAGACGAATGATTGCAATAA